AGGGTCCACAGGCACGGTGGCGTTTGTGCGCAAGGACTGGCTCTTCATTGTGCACCTCGGGGACTCCCGCGCTGTGAGTGCGCCAACCACGTGCTGAGATGTCTCAGCAGCAGACTCAAGCTCTGCTCCGAGCACCTCTGACTGTTCCTGCGGTGGGAAGGAGGATGACGCGGAGGACCTATCAATGGGTCACCATGGCATGGGGAGTCTCCATGCCCTCTTAAGCCCCTCGCCTCTTTCTCGTGCTCCTGCCTGTCCCGCATCATCCCAACCAAGCCTCCCATCATCATCCCTGCTGTACCAATTAGTTAATGCGGCTAGGGGTGGGTGGTGACGTTGAGGAGTCGCCACTGCGATGAGGCGTCTCAAATCCAGATTTCTTTCTGTCCACTTCATCGCAGGTGCTGGGGGTGGGTGGAGACACGGAGGACCTGTCTCAGGACCACAAGCCCCATGGGGAGTCACCGATTGCCAAGGCGGAGATCAAACGGATTGAGAAGGCGGGCGGATGGGTGAGTGCATGCTGCTGATGGGTGGCTGTGGGTGAGAAGGGGGCATTTGGCAGCTATGTGGAGGAGGGGTGGTGTGGAATGAGTGGAGATGGGGGTGGACAGAAAGGGTGATAAGGAAACATAGGACAACTTGGTGATGGGAAAGAAAATAAGGCATGTATGATGCGAAGAGAAGGAAGGGCAAGGTGTGTGATGGGACATGCATCTCAGGTCAAACGGTTATCTGTGGGCCATAGCATTTCCATTAGCACCTATCTGTTCTGAATCGTCTTCCTTGCTCTGTGTGAATGCTTGGCTGTGTTTGTGACTGTTTGAATCACAGGTGAGTCAAGGCCGCGTGTGTGGAGTGGTGGCAGTGTCTCGTGCCTTCGGCAACGCCAACTTCAAGACACGACGCGAACAGTGAGCACTTTGCATTCCAGCACCGTTCCAGCACATTTGACCTTGTTTTTGAAACCATGTCTTTTATCGAACGGTTTCCTTGAATCTGGCTGGACACAGTGGCTGGACACAGTGACTGGAAACCATCAGATCAGTTCTCATTCAACTGCAAGATCCAAAGCCCACATCCCGCTGTGTCCCCGTACCCGGTGTGCTGCAGGATGCTGTCAGAAGGTGTGAAGAAGGGCCGCTGGACCACCCGCTTCGTTTCCAAGTAAGTGCCACCCACCTGCAGTTGCCTGATGCTTTCAGATGTTTTAGGCGCCTCAAAAGTCTTCAAGGTGTGAAGAAGGGGCGCTGGACCACCCGCTTTGTCTCCAAGTAAGTGCCACTTCCAGTCGGCTCATGCTTCCATCCAAGTAGACGCTTCTCTCTATCGGTCGTGTTTTCACTCCAAGTGCCTGCTCATAGCGCTGGCCGTTCTGCCACAGCTCTCACACCCACATGCTCATTGTAAGTGATCCCTTCACCATTCCGCCTTCTCCTCGCCACCCCCTCCCCTCTCAGGCGCTCGTTTCAGAGCGATGGATCTCTGCGGTGCCGGACGAGCTGCTGAGCTGGCTGTTGAGTCGACTCCAGCTGCCATCTCCCTCCACCACTGCACCTCTACTCGCCTTCCCCTCCCCTCTCAGGCGCTCGTTTCAGAGCGATTGGATCTCTGCCGTGCCGGACGTGTATGCTGCTGAGGTGGAGGAGGATGCCGAGTTTGTCATCATTGCGTCCGACGGGCTCTGGGAGGGCGTGAAGAGGTAAGCCTCTTTGGTAGAGCCGTCTGTCTGACCTCTCTTATAAGCCTCTTTGGCAAAGCCGTCTGTCTGCCCTCTCTTGTACGCCTCTTTGGTGGCGCTCTCTGCTGGCTCTCTCATGCCGAGTTTTGTCATCATTGCGTCTGATGGGCTCTGGGAGGGCGTGAAAAGGTGAGGTCTTGGCTGACCCTCTCTGGTGGGCCTCTGATTCGGCCCTTCTATTGTGAGGGTCTTAAGTTGCCTTCCCGTTTGACCCTCTCGTGTGGCACTCTGGTTTATCTGTCGGCCGTTTCGCATTCCATCTTCCATCGCTGCAAGTAACCCTCTTTTTTCTCATCTCCACGTCTTCCTCTGATGCTAGCTTCTTTCCGCACTGTCCCCCATCCCTCTTCGTGTGTGGTGGCATCTTGGGGTCTTGTCTCATGCCTCACTTTTCGTGATATGGTTTCATTTCTTGCTACAGCTCGGAAGCCGTGGCGTTTGTTCGAAGGGAGTTGGAAAGCCATGGTGACATTCAACAAGCAACAGACAACCTAGCCAGTTTTGCGCTTCAGGTACTTGGTACTCTGTTGTCATATAGTGCATTGCACTCTGATTGCACTGCTATCTGTGTTAATTAATTCATCCTTTTGCTCGGTGCCCCTTTTGCAGGATCGGAAAGGCGAGGACAACATCAGCATCGTTATTATTGGCTTTAAATAAACACCTGATTGACTAGGTTGCGAGAAAGTATTGAGTGCCAATGTCAAAAGCATGTGCTATACGAAATCCTGCAAGCCAGCCATAAAGACAAAGATGCATTGGTTCGATTGAACGTCCCATGACGTGTAAGTCGCAGAAACTCCGTATAGCGCGTACGTGGGCAAGAAATGCGGTGTGGTTCGTGAATGTGCTGTGCGCTCCAGCATCCCTCTCACAACTCAATTGATCAACTCAATCCATTGATTCGTGTGCAGAGAACAGATCAGTGGTTCCTTGGTGACTCCGTCCCACATCATTTTCTTCATTGTGGTTCTCTTTGGACGCTCATCGGGCTAGTGCCCCTGCGATCCGAAAGGCGCTCGCGATCTGCGAGGCGCGCTTGCAGATCTCAGGCGCCGACAATTTCTGGGTACGCCTGGCTTCGACGTCCCGAATTGGGCGATTCGCGATCAGCTTCTTTGTGCCGTACAAACTTCGTTGAGACGTACTTACAAGAACCTCCCACGTACATTCTTGTATCAAACTTGTCATCAAAACTTGTTATCAAACTTCGTTGAGACGTACTTACAAGAAACACCCGATGCGCAAGGCCTGAAACGTGTAAGGTAACAAATTCTGGAACGCCGGCTCTGGCAGTCAGACGGCTGGACGTGGCGTTTCAGATTCAAGCGGCAGGAGAACTGGACGGTTGAACGGCAAATCTGGCGGCGCCTGGAACAGAACGTCCGGAAACAGGATAGACGCTCCTCCACTCGCGCTGCGGCCCTTGGCCTGAACAGACACGACAGAGCGCGCCGAAACAGGCTAGAGGCCGCAGCGTGAGTGGCGGAGGAGTGGACGGCGACACGTGGAGAGGGGGCTGGGAGAGGGGCGACGCGTGGAGAATGGCCGGCAAGGCGAGTTCCGCGAAGCTGCGTGAGGCGTTCAAGTACTGCGTGGACCAAGTCAGGTGCGCCGAAGCAGGCTAAGGATGCTGCAACACACTGAACGCACGCTGAAGGATCCACGAGTCAGCAACATGCGTGCTGCATGCTGCTTGCTGCATGTCGCGTGAGGCATGAGGCACATTTTTATCCGTGGTGCATGCTGTTTAATGCCATCCATCTCATCAGCCATCCACATCATTGGCATTGTGGCAGGAAGCATGACTCGGAGCATTACATTGGAGCGCTGTGCATGCCGGCACAACCCAGGCCCGTACAGCCAGTTCTATAACACACCCCACCATGTGCCGTTCGTTTCACCACACCCATCCACATCATTGGCAACGTGGCAGGAAGCATGACTCGGAGCACTACATCGGAGCGCTGTACATGCCAGCACAACACAGGCCCACCCAATTCGCGCTCAGAGCATTCAATGTGGAGACCTCATTGGTACGCCCCTCCTTAGTAGCCTCATCGCCCCAGTGCGGTTTTCCTGTGGACTCAAAAAGTCACCCCAGCACAGCACAGTCCCACCCAATTCGCGCTCAGAGCATTCAATGTGGAGACCTCATTGGTACGCTTCTCCTTTGCCCCTTTTCCCCATTGCTCCGGTCGCCTCATCGCCCCTTTGCCCCGTTGCCCCATTGCTCCGTTTTCTCTTGACGCCCCGCAACGTCCTTCCTCCTCGCAACGCTGCAGATCCGTGACAGGGCGCGGGAGCGGCGCCTTGTACCTTAACACTGCACGCCCTTTCCCTCTCCTGTGCTCCACTGCTCCTCTTCTTCCCCACAACACTACAGATCCCGGACAGGGCTCGGGAGCAGCGCCTTGCCATCATTCGCCTCGCCTGGTGGAGAGACGCCCTCACCCGCCTCTTTCAGGTAACTTCCCCCCTACATGTATGGCGCGCACAGACCCAGCCACGCTGGCCCAGATCCTTCAGAACCACCCTGTGCGACTTTTGAGTGTTAACCCTGCGCTCCTGACGAGGTGACTCTTGAGTCGACTCAAAATTCGCTGGCCCAGCTCCTTGAGAGCCACCCTGTGCGACTTTTGAGTGTCAACCCTGCGCTCCAGTGCGACGTTTTCTGGCCTTTGAGGCGCCGTTGATCTGCACTCCCCTTTTGAACATACCCAATGTTCCCAGGGCCAGCCCCCGGAGGACCACCCAGTGCTGGTGGCGCTGGGGGCAGTGCGGGAGGCGCGTCCCTCCCAATTAACGCAGTTCCTTCCCTTCTCAACCCCAGGCCCCAATTAACGCAGTTCCTTCCCTTCTCAACCCCAGGCCCCAATTAACGCAGTTCCTTCCCTTCTCAACCCCAGGCCCCAATTAACGCAGTTCCTTCCCTTCTCAACCCCAGGCCCCAATTAACGCAGTTCCTTCCCTTCTCAACCCCAGGCCCCAATTAACGCAGTTCCTTCCCTTCTCAACCCCAGGCCCCAATTAACGCAGTTCCTTCCCTTCTCAACCCCAGGCCCCAATTCTCACGTGCACCCCACATGCCCACGTTCACACACACAGGCCCAGCCCCCGGAGGAACAGCCAGTGCTGGTGGCGCTGGGAGCAGTGCGGGAGGCGACGGGAATCACCAAGCCGTGGCTGCTTCTTGAGATGAGCACCTGAAATCTCAATTCCTTACATAACCCCAATCTCCATGTGTGCTCACACGCAGGGCCAGCCACCCGAGGACCACCCAGTGCTGGTGGCGCTGGGGGCAGTGCGGCAGGCGACGGGAATCACCAAGCCATGGCTGATGCGAGTCATTGCTGCCCGGGTGGGTGGTGTGTGTGGGGTGGGGGGTTGGGTGTGGAGGGGGGAGGGGAGGGTGTGGGGGAGGGTGCATTCCCTGCTCAGTGAAATGCTCTGGCATGCTATCGTCTCCCAGCTTTCGTCTCCCACCTTTCGTCTCCCAGCTTTCGTCTCCCACCTTTCGTCTCCCAGCTTTCGTCTTCCACCTCTCGTCTTCCACCTCTCGTCTCCCACCTCTCTCTCTTTCTCATCGCTTTCCCTCCGTGTGCCTGACGTTGACCTTACTGTCCCCCTGTGCCTGACGTTATTGACCACCATTGACCACCATTGACCACCATTGACCACCATTGACCATCATTGACCACCATTGACCACCATTGACCACCATTGACCACCATTGACCACCATTGACCACCATTGACCATCATTGACCACCATTGACCACCATTGACCACCATTGACCACCATTGACCATCATTGACCACCACCATCAGATGGAGGACTTGGAGCGGGCGGCCTTCCCACCCAACACGATCGCCGATGTGGAACAGTGAGTGCCACCACTTTGTATTAGTTGACTCACGAATCGACGTGTAACAGTGAGCGTTACTTTGTCTTAGCTGACTCACAGATTGATGTGGGACAGTGAGTGCCACCATGTCACCTTGGGTGTGGTGGGAGAGCCATGGTGAAGGGTGGGGTGCGGGGGAGAAGGGTGTGGTGGGAGAGCCATTCACCGCACCCTTCTCCCCCGCCCGCCTGATCCCTCCACCCTCCGCGTAGAATACATTCAACGCAATACCTGCACATCACTATTCGTTGACAACTGCTCAAAGCGCGTTCGTTCTAATCGGTTTAGTCATCCTTCTCTTCACCGTGGCTCACACAACATGTTTGTGTGCGCACATATCATGCGTGCATACCTGCATGCCTGCATGCATGCATGAAAGAGCAGGTACGCGGAGTCAACGTCCTCGGCGCTGCTCTACCTCTCCCTGCAGGCTGCTGGCATGAAAGTATGGTGCCTCACGAATGTGTTCTCTTCCCCGTCCATGCCAAATATGGCATGCCCACGAGTGCAGGTACGCGGATTCAACGTCCTCGGCGCTGCTCTACCTCTCCCTGCAGGCTGCTGGCATCAACAGCGTGCATGCTGATCATGCTGCCTCCCACGTTGGTAAGCCCACTTTGCTACTCCCCACATTGGTAACTGCATTGGTAACTGCATTGGTAACCACATCAGTAACGGCACTTGTATTCTGCAGGCTGCTGGCATCAACTGCGTGCATGCTGACCACGCTGCTTCCCACATTGGCAATCACGTTGGTAACTTCTTTGGTAACCATTGGCATCTGCATTTGGTAACCACACTAGTGACCACATCAGTATCAGCACTTGTATTGCGCAGGCTGCGGGCTTCAGGCATCCATAGCACGCATGTTGACCATGCTGCCTCCCACACTGGTTACATCATTGGTAACTGCAATGGTAACCACATTGGTAGCCACAATGGTAACCACATTGGTAACCACATTGGTAACCACATTGGCAGCCACATCGGTAACCACATTGATTTTCCTCAGTCCTGTTGAGGCCTGCCTTGATGCTTCTCACTACCTCCTCCCAGGCAAGGCGGAGGGCATGGCTCTTCTGCTGCGCGGCGCATCGTACCACGCAGCACAGAGGCGATCGCACATTCCGCTAGATGTCGCTGCAAAGGTGCGTTCTACTAAGACAAGGCGGGGCGCATGGCTCTTCCGCCCCAAAAAGCGCATCGTACCATGCAGCACAGAGGCGCTCGCACATTCCTGTAGATGTCGCTGCGAAGGTACAGTGCTTGTATGGGTCGTAAACCGTTTGATTACTGATATCCCTTTGCAAGCAGATGGTATTCATTACCTTTCACCCCGTCGTATCCCAAACCCGCTGCTTCTCCGAATTTATTGCTTCACCCACCAGCATGGGCTCATGCTTCACCCACCAGCATGGGCTCATGCTTCACCCACCAGCATGGGCTCATGCTTCACCCACCAGCATGGGCTCATGCTTCACCCACCAGCATGGGCTCATGCTTCACCCACCAGCATGGGCTCATGCTTCACCCACCAGCATGGGCTCATGCTTCACCCACCAGCATGGGCTCATGCTTCACCCACCAGCATGGGCTCATGCTTCACCCACCAGCATGGGCTCATGCTTCACCCACCAGCATGGGCTCATGCTTCACCCACCAGCATGGGCTCATGCTTCACCCACCAGCATGGGCTCATGCTTCACCCACCAGCATGGGCTCATGCTTCACCCACCAGCATGGGCTCATGCTTCACCCATCAGCATGGGCTCATGCTTCACCCACCAGCATGGGCTCATGCTTCACCCACCAGCATGGGCTCATGCTTCACCCACCAGCATGGGCTCATGCTTCACCCACCAGCATGGGCTCATGCTTCACCCACCAGCATGGGCTCATGCTTCACCCACCAGCATGGGCTCATGCTTCACCCACCAGCATGGGCTCATGCTTCACCCACCAGCATGGGCTCATGCTTCACCCACCAGCATGGGCTCATGCTTCACCCACCAGCATGGGCTCATGCTTCACCCACCAGCATGGGCTCATGCTTCACCCACCAGCATGGGCTCATGCTTCACCCACCAGCATGGGCTCATGCTTCACCCACCAGCATGGGCTCATGCTTCACCCACCAGCATGGGCTCATGCTTCACCCACCAGCATGGGCTCATGCTTCACCCACCAGCATGGGCTCATGCTTCACCCACCAGCATGGGCTCATGCTTCACCCACCAGCATGGGCTCATGCTTCACCCACCAGCATGGGCTCATGCTTCACCCACCAGCATGGGCTCATGCTTCACCCACCAGCATGGGCTCATGCTTCACCCACCAGCATGGGCTCATGCTTCACCCACCAGCATGGGCTCATGCTTCACCCACCAGCATGGGCTCATGCTTCACCCACCAGCATGGGCTCATGCTTCACCTTGTCACAACCCCTTTCCGCTTTTCAAGCTGTTGCCTTCCCTCTCATTCCCTTCCACCTTGTTGTTCCTCACCCTTCCCACCCTTCTTCTCCCACCCTCCTACCTCCCTTCCTGATCTCGTACCACTTCTACCACCAGCATCGGCTGGTGCATGAGGAGTTGTTTTAGAGTTTTGGGTGGCCGGGAAGCTCGACTCACCTCTTCTTTTAATCCAACACTCTTACCATCAGCATGGACTCGTGCATGAGGAGCTGTTTCGAGGGCGGCAGCCGCCCAGCTTCAGGGAGTGCGTGTACGATGTGGCATGTGTGGCGCAAGCACATCTGCAAAAGGCCAAAGCCTTGCAGTCCTCCTTGCCTCCTATAGCTCGACAATTACTCTTGCCATCAGCTGTAAGTTCTGCCACCAATGACTCTTGTTCTTCTTAAATCTATATCATATTGGGAATTTGACTGAGTCTTTTGGTGTTGTTTTGCAGGTGGGTGCAAATCTTTTCCTTCACAACCTGCAGCGCCACCACTTCGATGCAATGGACCCATCACTTCTTCGAGGAGTGTGGGGAGTGTCTCCGCTATGGCTGCACTCAAATTTGTTATGGAAATCACTACGGAAATCTGCCTTCTAGCTTCAGTTTATTCCATGCAGGCGAATACCATACGCATTTTCAGCTGTGGTGAGGTGTAATATAGTGTTTCCATTCATAAGGAGGATTTCCTTCCACCAACCACCTATGTTGTTCACCAATGGCTGTAGCCGCTCCACCAAAGTTCAGGGTACCCTTTGGCGTCGACTCCTACTGTGTTCGATTCGAAATTGAAAATTTCACCTGTCTGACACCACACACGCCACCCATTGGAGCCGCGCGGTCAATTTGAATTCCTGAGTCCCGACTCGCTCGAATCGACAATTCCTGTCTGCTCCTTTTTCAGTAGAATTGCGCGATTTTACATTGTCCTCAGCCCAGCTCAACCAGACTCAGCCCAGCCTGACCTTACCGAAACCAGCCAAAACCAGAATACTATCGCGGAATACCACCTGATTTTGACTGCGTGTTCAGCCCGTTGCGCTGATTTGTTTTCGCCATATACACACGACCATCCAAAGCAGGTCGCAGCTTTCCAGCCTGTGCCACGACTTTCCCGTTGTGTATTCTGGAGGAATAAAGCCGAGCAGTAAATATACTCCAGTAAGTCCTCGCCTGGCTTTAGCGCTAACATTCCGTTGGCTAGTCTCCATAGGAACTGCTCCCACCCGGCTACCTCCAACTCCTCCGAATTTCACACCTTTTGCAGCACGGTGCTGCTAATAAGAGCTCCGAACTTCACTGATAGCTTCCAGTAAGGCCGCACTTGTGTGTCTCTTCCTCTAGGTCAGTACGATGGGCTTACGGAAGAAACCCGCCAGGTCAGCTTCGTTTTCCCGATTGGAGTACCTACCGCTGCTTCTCCTCCTTGTCGCGATTGTCGCAGCCCCGACAAACGCACTCCGCAAACCCCGTCGCCTCATGCGGGGCCTGCAAGCCATTCGCGCCGCGCTTCCTCTTGAATTGACGGCCACCGTGACATCGGGTTCCCCGAAGCTCGGAGTGACGACGTGGCGCCCTGCGATTCGCCGGCTGATCACAGCGATTGGATTAGCGTCGGCCAAGTCACCCGCAGTTTCCAAGCAGAACCCCGGCGCTAACGTGGCAATCGGCGGCGAAAACCTAACCGTCACCCAGAAGCAGGCCGTTGCGAAGCAGGAGAGCGCGGCGTCGAACGTCCAACGGTCACCGCCCAACACGGTCACCTCCGAACTCCAAGCCAAGAAAGACAAAGACAACACGCAAGGGACCTCCGTTGAGAACAGCAATGACCACGAGAAAGGCGGCCGCGGCAGCGGCGGCGGCTGCTCCGGTAACAGCGACTTCGATTCTGATTTGGCGCCTCCCTCGCTCGCCTCCCCGTGCCCGCACCCTTCCCCCAACGGGGGCGAATCCGCCGATCGTGGCCGGAGCCGCCTGTCGCCGCTACCCATCGCATGCCCCGCGCGCCCCGCCATGTGCGACTTCTTCTTTGACGGCCTGACGGACGAGATACCGGTCATCCGTCTGTCCGCCGATTCCTTTTTCGCTGGCCGGCCGATTCCCATCGGACCGTCTCCCATCGTCGCCATGGCTGGCGGAGCTTTCGTGGATGTTTCGCGCGTTGAGGGGAACTACTCCCGCGCCGTGTGTCTGGGCGAGCCAGCGGAGAATCCGGCGCCAGTCACGGCGACAGACACGTGGCAGGGGAAGACCACGGACGTTTCGAAGAAGCTTCTGCAGGACCAGCTGATCCTGCCAGAAAGGCTGTTTCAGCTGCGCGGGAACGGAGAACTGATGTACAACGGCGCTGACGTGGCAGACTGGGACGACGACGACATCTGGCTGGCGGCGGCTAAAAGTCCCGACGGCGTTACCGTCAGCGTGCAAATCGACGAAGCCACAGTGAACCTGTTCGGGGTCAATATCGAGCTTAATATTACCGAGGATGGATCCGCCACGTCGGAGAACCGCGAGGTTCCCGGCGCCGAGGCGCAGATGGCTCTGCTCGAGGCGTCCTCGTTATTAACAGACCCATCGTCTTTCATGCACGATGCAGAACCCCCGTCAGCCTCGCCGCCATCCCCATCCGCAGCAGCGGCAGCGGCGGCAAAGGAAGCAAAGAACGGGATTGATCGCAAGAAGCTGTTGGAGTGGCCTGAGCGGGAGGCGGCTTCCGCCAGGCGCCTGGCGGAGGCGGAAGGCGCGAGCGCGAAGGGCGCGGCGACGCAGTGGCAGGAGATGATGCTGAATGCTGGAGTCGCGGCAATCCCTGAGGCAGGGCGCCCGGCCCTCCCCCTCGTGGCGACTATTGTGATGCCAGAGGATAGTGACTCCTCCCCTGCTGCCGCTGGCGCTAAGGATTCTGCTCCTGCTGTTTCTGGGGAAGGGGGAGACGCAGGGAGAGTGGAATCGGAGGAGAAGCGCAACTGGTTGAATCAGCCGACCAGCGGTGCTGTGGAGGGGGTGAGTGACAAGGGCGCAGGGAGCGGCAGTGCGAAGGGTGCTGCTGGTGGTACCGCTGGTGGTGCTGGTGGTACTGCTGGTGCTGGTGCTGGCCCTGCTGCTGCCGCGGGTAAGGAAAGCAAGCTTCCTCGCGAAGAATCCAACGGAGGAAGCAGCAGTGGCAAGAGCAGTGATGGCAAGAGCGACAAGGTTGCAGACAAGGGTGCAGGGGTGCCAGAACAGCACCATGACTCTGAGGCTAACAGCCGCTTCTACTTCCCTTTGCATCGCCGGTGCATTTTGTTCCGAGTCAAGATTGTTTGACGTGACTCTAACATAGTTTTTTAGTAGTATCTGATGGGTAGATGGTGTCTCTCGCACCTATTAGGCACAGCTCACAAGCTGAAATGATGATGTGTTCGTGCTGTAGTCTCCAAATGATTATAAACAGATTATGACTTCACGTGTGATGGCCCTGATGGTGCTGCTCGTGGTGATGGGCCTGATGGTAAAACATTTCCTGGTGAGAAAAGTTGGTTTTAAACCAAGGGCCCACGGGTGGAAGAGCAGGCAATGCTAACAAGGCTACTACTCTCGCATGCTGACTAGGTTATTAGTACTTCGAGACGGGGGTCATCATGTCACTCGCAAGCTAATAGGCCGAGCCTCTGATGCTTTATTTCTGTGGTCTCTAAAAAATGTATTGATGAATCTCACCTGGGCTGTACATGCGGTTACTGCAAACACCAAACTATTTTCCCTACTCCGTAGTTAAAGTTTCAACTCATGGAGAACTAAACCTATAATGCGTGTTCCTTTTGCGAGCTCACAAAAGCGTACTCCACTCAACCGAATGAAACCCGAAACCTGGGAAACTCCAGAACCTCCCCACAATGCCTTTAAGTATGCTCCGCAACGGTCGCAAACATCTAGGCGCGAAGCTAGCTAGGTAGTTTCTCACGTGCAGGATTTTTGGCGCCCAGATGTTAGCGAAAGAATATAAGAAGTTAGTGTCTCGCAAAGATTCTGTCGTAAGGCTTCCGGGTTTCGGGGAATAGACTGTTTTTCTGCGGAGAACTTAGTTGACTCCTAACCTGTAGCTACCCTCCCCTCCCTGGCTAATATCTGCCCTGACAATGAAGATTAAGGTGCTTTCGCGATCGGAAGAGCAGTTCACGCGCGAGCGAAAGCAAGATGTGACAGTGAGTCTCCATTCAACAGGTTCCGTTTAAATGTTGTCAGTGAGCAAGCTCAGGCTCGCAGGGAGCAACGGACATGGTCGAGCGCATAAACACGGAGAATATCCGTAATCGTCGATAAGATACCAGAAATCTTAACGGACCAATTTGCCAGAATAGTCCCCTCTCTAACTGCTCGGTCCTGCCGTGAAGGCCGAAGGCTGCCAACGAGGTTTGAGACGTCTCAAAAGCGCGCGTCGCAATCCATACCCACGTGACGTCCGCGCTATAAGGCCGACGAATGATTGCGCGTACTTAACGCCACCATGATCCTCAGCGAGTCTCCGCCGATTTCACGAACTTTTCTCTCACCTCACACTACTTTCCCCGTTCTCAGAAAGTACACACCGGAATCTCGACCGAACGCTACACTCCCTTCGAACTCAGCAGGCGAAGGAGTACAGCGAGCGCTCAACGCCGTGAAGCTCGATAAGGTGTTCGCCAAGCCTCACCTCAATCCCGCCCCCTTGCCTCACCCTACACCTCCCCCACCCCCACTCCCCACTCCCAGAAAGTACACCGGAATCTCGACCCAGCTCTCCACCCACTTGAGAAAGCGAAGGAGTATCAGCGAGCGCTCAACGCAGTGAAGCTCGATAAGGTGTTCGCCAAGCCGTTCATGGGCGCGCTAGGCAGCCACGCGGACGGCGTCTCCGCCATGGCGAGAAGCCCCGTCAGACTCAACTGCGTCGTTTCCGCCTCCATGGACGGAGGTCAGTAAATACCAACTCCACCTTGAACGATGGGCCCAGAACTTTGACCCCTGAACAGTGAGCCCTTCCCGTTCATGGGAGCGCTCGGCAGCCACGCGGACGGCGTCTCCGCCATGGCGAGAAGCCCCGTCAGACTCAACTGCGTCGTTTCCGCCTCCATGGATGGGGGTGCGGTGAACCAGACCCTGAACCCTGAACCCTGATCCTTGACGTGTGAGCCTTGAATTTTTCATCCTGGAACCTGAGCAATAACCATGAAGCCTACTTTTCACGACCGTTGAGGAAGCCCCTGCGATGGGGAGCAGCTAACAGCTGCGATGGCTTAGTAGCTACCACAGCTTAAAACCAGGGTGCACATTCAACGCGGTTCGGCTTGAGATGTTGGGAAGGGGGTTTGGAGAAAAACAGTGATTGGCTCACGAGGGGCGACAAAAAAATGATTCCGCTAGAGCTTCGGGCATTTCGTAGGTGGCGGGAGGGGGTGAAATGGCGGGAGTGGGTGAAACCGAATGGCGGGAGGGATGAAACAGATTGGCGGGAGGGGGGGGAAACGAAATTGCGGGGGAGGGGGGAAACAAAATTGCGGGGGAGGGGGGAAACGAATTTCGCCGGGGAGGGGGAAATGAAATTGCGGGGGCGTGGGGAAACGAAATTGCGGGGGAGGGGGGAAACGAATTTCGACTTGAAGGGGTTGAAAGCACACCTCGTAACCCACTCAGTCAAGGGATAACCTTTGATGCACATTCAGCTGAATGTGCACCCCGGTTTTAAAGCTCGCGGCCCAAATTGCGGGCCGCGCTGGGCAACCTTAGTAAGGTTGATTGATAGTTGTTTTGCAGGTGCTGGTTTTGCGAATTGAGGTTACGGGTTGTACGAAGGAAGTTGATTGGCTAGTCAATTTGAAACACTGAGCTGATTGGCTAGCAAAATTGAAACAGTGTTTGCGGAGGGGGTTGGGTGGGAAACTGGCAAGGATAGTATTTGTGCAATATGGGACTCATGCAACCAAACGCGAAGTGGCCCCTGGGGTCTACTGAGTCAGCGAAATGTGTTTGAGATTGGCGAGAAGTTGGGCGAAACCAAAGCCCTCAACCCACCCAACACCTCGACTAGCCAACCCTGCTCCCTCACCTCCCAACATGCAACTTTAGTAAAGTTGTACAATTTGGGCCGCGAGCTTTAATTGAATCGATGCAGCGAAGGGTTCAGGGTTCATGGCTGGGCATTCGAACCCTTCGCTGTTCACGGCCTACACGTGTTTTTTGAGAATTCTCAAAAAACATTCGAACCCTTCGCTGTTCACGGCCTACACGTGTTTTTTGAGAATTCTCAAAAAACATTCGAACCCTTCGCTGTTCACGGCCTACACGTGTTTTTTGAGAATTCTCAAAAAACATTCGAACCCTTCGCTGTTCACGGCCTACACATGTTTTTTGAGAATTCTCAAAAAACATTCGAACTCTTCGCTGTTCACGGCCTACACGTGTTTTTTGAGAATTCTCAAAAAACATTCGAACCCTTCGCTGTTCACGGCCTACACGTGTTTTTTGAGAATTCTCAAAAAACATTCGAACCCTTCGCTGTTCACGGCCTACACGTGTTTTTTGAGAATTCTCAAAAAACATTCGAACCCTTCGCTGTTCACGGCCTACACGTGTTTTTTGAGAATTCTCAAAAAACATTCGAACCCTTCGCTGTTCACGGCCTACACGTGTTTTTTGAGAATTCTCAAAAAACATTCGAACCCTTCGCTGTTCACGGCCTACATCCGCGATTTGAGAGCTCGTGCCGCACTTTTTCCTGTTGTAGGCCTGCCTTGAACCGTAGATCCTGCTTCTCCTCTTTCTTTATGTTTTTTTCTGAAGCCTCGCAAACGCCTTCCTGTTAGCTTCTATCATCAATCCTCGTCTCCCTCCGTTTCTTGCTCTCGCTTCCCCCACCAACCGTTCTTTCCCCTCTCTCCCTTGCTGTTCTTCCATCCCGCATATCCCTCTCTTTTCTCAGATGTACGCCTATGGGACGTCCCTTACAAGTGAGTTTTGTTACGTACACCCGACATAAGATGATGCTTGTAGCGCCATTAAGATTGTCCGGTGCACCAAAGTATGGTAGTGCGCGGCGCGCGCGCGTCGTGCGCCTATATTGTCCCATTCAAACCCAAAGTCGTAACTATCGTCCCATCCAAACCCAAAGCACCTTCCCCTTCCATCTGCGTCTGTGTGATTCTTCATTTCTCCCTTCACCAGGCGCACGCTGTGCCGGTTTGTGGGGCACAGCAGGGCGGTGAGGGGTGTGGCCATATCAGCAGATGGGGAGACAATGCTGTCATGCGGCGATGACTGCACGTGAGTGTGACTGGGAGAAAGGGCAGCGCATGGGCGCAGTGCATGGGCGCAGTGCATGGGCGCAGTGCATGGGCGCAGTGCATGGGCGCAGTGCATGGGCGCAGTGCATGGGCGCAGTGCATGGGCGCAGTGCATGGGCGCAGTGCATGGGCGCAGTGCATGGGCGCAGTGCATGGGCGCAGTGCATGGGCGCAGTGCATGGGCGCAGTGCATGGGCGCAGTGCATGGGCGCAGTGCATGGGCGCAGTGCATGGGCGCAGTGCATGGGCGCAGTGCATGGGCGCAGTGCATGGGCGCAGTGCATGGGCGCAGTGCATGGGCGCAGTGCATGGGCGCAGTGCATGGGCGCAGTGCATGGGCGCAGTGCATGGGCGCAGTGCATGGGCGCAGTGCATGGGCGCAGTGCATGGGCGCAGTGCATGGGCGCAGTGCATGGGCGCAGTGCATGGGCGCAGTGCATGGGCGCAGTGCATGTGCTGTATGCCTCCGCTTGCCCTCCTCCTCCCTTAACCAACACACAGCGTGCGGCTGTGGCAGCTACCAGTGCGGAGATCAAGGAGTCCACTCAAAAGTCACCTCGGGGCGCATCTACTGCCGTGTTGCGCTAGCCGTCGCCTATCCTTTCCCCCCTCATCTTCCCCACCTCTCCCCATCCTTCTCCCCCATCTCCCACATAGGGATGAGCACGAGGCCAACACGAACATGTTTGCGTTCGCCTTGGCTCGAACATGGCCGTTCGGCGAACCGAACACTGTTCGGTTTGCCGAACACTTTTCGCCCAAAGGGGTGTTCGAAGTTCGCCTGTGAAGGCGAACATTTCGAACACTTTGGCGAACACGAACATGTTCGCCAGGAACATGTTCGTGTTCGCCTCCGAGGGCTGAGCATTACAAAACACTAGATTACAACACTGCCAATGCAACTCTGACTATGAGTTTCCAGTTTAGTGGAAACCCTTCCACGGTGGAAACCCTAATCGGTGCCCTTCAACTTGAGCGCGCGGAGTAGTTGCTGGCTACGTTTTCTTAGTAAGTGTCGTTCCCAACTCGACTAACCTAAGCGTTGTAGCATATCTTCCGTTCTAGGCTAGTAGTAGAGTAGGTGAGGCTAGGATGTGGCAGAGTGGTAGAGGGCGTGCTGGTGGCAGCGACTGCGACAGGGTCGCGGAGCTAAAAAAAACGAGTTGAAATGAATTGGCTGCGACCCTAAATTAGGTCGCGGCCAATTCGTCGACGAACACTTAGGTGTTCGTCGATGTCCCGCGTCGAACAGGAACGTGTTCGTGTTCGACGCGGCTCGGCATATCGACGTGGGCGAACACCGAACATGTTCGCACGAACATCGAACATGTTCGTGTCGAACATTTTTGGGCAAAAAAAAAAATCCCGTTCGGTTCGTCTCGAACATGTTCGAGACGAACCGAACGGGTGTTCGGCTATATGCTCATCCCTACTCCCACACACAGCGTGCGGCTGTGGCAGCTACCAGCGCCGGAGATCAAGGAGTTGGGGGTGGCAGGGGGGGACTCAGCAAAGCAGAGACGATCACCCCTCTATGTTCCGCTCCCCATTACCCCCATATCTCCACTTCACCCCCCCTCCCCTCCCCCATCTCCCACACACAGCGTGCGCCTATGGCAGCTACCAGCGCCGGAGATCAAGGAGTTGGGGGTGGCAGGGGGGGACGTGGAGCATGAGGCTGTTGCCACCTTCCAAGGGAAAAACGCCTTCAGGTGAGCCTTCAGGTGAATCTTCAGGTGAGCAGTGGACCACAAGTGGAAGGGCCTGGTGTCTGCCACAGCAGGAGCACAGGTGGACGTGTGCACGTGTGTGCCATCCGACATGTGTTAGTTCACAGTTCACGCATTTCACATTTTCACCTCTGGTGTTGCACATTCTATTCCTGGCGTGCAGAGCAGTGGACCATAAGTGGAAGGGGCGAGTTTTTGCCACAGCAGGCGCGCAGGTGGACGTGTGGGAGCACAGTCGCTCGGACCCCATATGTACATTCACATGGGGCGTGGACTCTGTCTACTCTGTTCGCTTCAACCCCGCCGAACCGGACGTTTTCGCCACCACTGGCAGGTGGGGGAAGGAAGGGGAGACGCTGGGTGAGTGAAGGCAACAGTGGGGGGGTAGAGGCGAGGATATGGAGATCCACGCAGTGGAGATATTCCCGCCACTCTCCCCATGCTCCGACCCCATAGCCACGTTCACATGGGGGGTCTGACTCTGTCTACTCTGTTCGCTTCAACCCCGCCGAGCCTGATGTTTTCGCTACTACCGGCAGGTGAGGGGAGGGAGGGGGCGGTGGCAGGGTTTGGGGGTGAGGCTGAGGTGGGGGATGAGGTGGGGGGTGAGGTGGGGGGTGAGGCTGAGGTGGGGGATGAGGCTGAGGTGGGGGGTGAGGAGAGGTTTTTGAGAATTCGCAAAAATCACTCGCAAAAATCGTCTCATGGCAGGTCAGGAGAAATACAGATGAGCATATTCCTTTCATCGTTCATCCTGTCGAGATGAGACGATTTTTGAGTTGACTCAAAAATCGTCTCATGGCAGGTCAGGAGAAATACAGATGAGCATATTCCTTTCATCGTTCATCCTGTCGAGATGAGACGATTTTTGAGTTGACTCAAAAATCGTCTCATGGCAGGTCAGGAGAAATACAGATGAGCATATTCCTTTCATCGTTCATCCTGTCGAGATGAGACGATTTTTGAGTTGACTCAAAAATCGTCTCATGGCAGGTCAGGAGAAATACAGATGAGCATATTCCTTTCATCGTTCATCCTGTCGAGATGAGACGATTTTTGAGTTGACTCAAAAATCGTCTCATGGCAGGTCAGGAGAAATACAGATGAGCATATTCCTTTCATCGTTCATCCTGTCGAGATGAGACGATTTTTGAGTTGACTCAAAAATCGTCTCATGGCAGGTCAGGAGAAATACAGATGAGCATATTCCTTTCATCGTTCATCCTGTCGAGATGAGACGATTTTTGAGTTGACTCAATTATCGTCTCATGGCAGGTCAGGAGAAATACAGATAAGCATATTCCTTTCATCGTTCATCCTGTCTGCCCTGCCTGTCCATAGTGTTTCGCCTTGTGGAGCTTTTCTGAGAATTCTAAAACTACTTGTATTCAATTAAGGAAAAATAACCCTGCGACACCTTGTTGCAACACCTTGTTGCAACACTTCTCCATTGGACCCTGCGGACTTCCACTCTACCTTTCTCGTCTTTCTTTCTTTCTTTCTTAGTTACTTACTTACCAACTTACTGTCTTCCTATCTTTCTTTCATTATCCTGCCGTTGTTCCCTGTGGGCTGCCCTTTGTGATCCTGTACGACCTCCGCATGTCCACACCGTTGAGAAAAGTGATCATGCAGGTGAAGCAAGCCCAGGGGGATTAGAGGGGAGGAGAGGGGGAAGAGAGGGGAAGAGAGCTTACTGTTAGGGAAGTCTGTTGGACGAGTATTGGGGGGCGATGATGCTCCCGGTGATGCTCCTGGTGATGCTCCCGGTGATGCTCCCCTCTCTTTCCAGCGGCATCCTCGCATTCCACCTTGCGATGCAAAGTCCTCGCGTTTTTTCGATGTCCTCCCGGCTCTTCAATTTCAATGTCTTTCGATGTTCCTTGTCGTTTGTCTACGAAGTCTACCAGTTGACCAGTTTTCAGTCACGTGAAAAGCTGTCTTCTCCCTTCCCTTATCCCTCCTCGCCTCCCCCCATCATTCACCTCCCCCTCCCACCATACAAGCGTGCCACACTGATGTTCTGCTCTCCATTTCCCTCCTCCCTATTCCCCTCCCTCGTTCCGTAGACCAAGACCAACTCGCTGGCGTGGAATCCACGGGAGCCTCTCAACTTCACTGTGGTGAGTGTTGAGTGTTGGAGGGTAGGGATGATGTATGGTGGTGGGTGGTGATGTATGCTGCGCAGTGGTGTACTTTTGAGAATTCTCAAAAGTCACTCGAATATAGCTGGTGTACTGTAGTGAGTGAGAACGGCAACTGCTGCCCATACGACATGCGTAACCTATCACCCTTGTATGCCCTCAAACTCCCACTCTCGCCTGCCTTTTCTGCCTATCAATCTATCTGCTGCCCACCCACCCCACCGCCCAGCCCACGGCCCGCCCCTGGCACGTGCTACCCATGTGGCATGCAACCTCGCATACTCAATTTCGCAACCTCACACACCCATTTCGCTCACTCACACGCATGCTCCTCCCGCTGTCCCCCACTGCCTCTGCCCGCGGCACACCCCAACCCCGGCAGGGGAATGAGAACGGCAGCTGCTACTCATATGACATGCGCAACCTCAGCACTGCTTCACTCGTACACAAAGACCACGTCTCCACCGTGTGAGTGGCATGTGTTGGGGACACGAGTGTGAGATGAGACGAGCTGTTGAGGCAGCATAGCTGTAACCTCAGCACTGCTTCACTCGTACACAAAGACCACGTCTCCGCCGCGTGAGTGGCTGCGCCGTGTGCGTGTGAATGCCATGGGGCATGGGGCATGGGGCATGGGGCATGGGGCATGGGGCAGTGTGCATCCAGTTGTGTCCTCCTCAGCACCGCCTCCCTCGTGCACAAGGGCCATGTCTCTTCTGTGTGAGTGCTTGCTAGCATGAGTGGGGGCACGAGTGTGTGTGTGAGAAGAGCTCTTGAGGCGTCAAGGCTGTAACCCCTCAGCACCGCTTCCCTCGTACACAAAGGCCACGTCTCCGCCGTGTGAGTGACTGCGCTGTGTGATCGGCTGTGTCCCCCCAACCCAACCCAACCCACTGAATCTCTCTCTCACGATCACCCCCCTCTCCTCGCTGCTCCTTCCTTTCTCATCCCCATTCCCCCATGTGACTTCCCTTCTCCTCCACTACCCATCCACACCCCACGCTATCCCTTGCAACCACACCAGCATGGACTTTGACTACCCGCCAACAGGAAGGGAATTCGTGACAGGGTCGTATATATGGGGCACCTAAAAGTAGACCCCACACCCCACCCCCTTCCCCTGCTCCCCCACCACCAGCATGGACATTGACTACTCGCCAACAGGAAGGGAGTTCGTGACAGGGTCTTATGATAGAACGGTGAGTGTGCTGACATGCCATAGCCCCCCACTTCCTCCCTACCACATTCTCTCCCCTGCTCCCTCCCTCAGTCTCTCCCCCACTCCCTCCTCCCTCTCTCCCTCCCTCCATGCCCACCTCCTTTTATGCCTTTTTCTGGTCTGTTCTGAGAAGTTCTCCAAAAAAAAAATTACTGAGAGGTATCCTGCTCCAAGCGCATGTATCTGCTTGTCTTGCTGTTGCAAGCCTCTCGCCGCCTCTCCCTGATTTCAACATCCCCTCCGCCCCTCTTCCAGGTGCGGATATTCCCGTATGATGGCATCAAGAGCCGAGAGGTCTACCACACCAAGCGCATGCAACGGTAATCACCCCCGCTGCCGCTGTGCTTTTCAATTGCATATGCTGGCGTTTGCCTTGACAACCGTCTTCTCTTTTTCTTTGCCTTTTCTTTCTATTGCCCTGCAAGGCACTGACAACCCTCTTCTCCTTTTCCTCCCTTCCCTTCACTCTCCTAGCCCGGAGGCTGTCGTTCTGCCCCTCCTCGCACTCTCTCTCCCTTTCTCGTTGGCAGCGTGTTCTGTGTGTGCTTCACCGGTTATGGATGGCTCCTACGAGCTGTCAGGAGCTGACTTTTGAGTCGACTCAATAGTCTTTCGAGTCGACTCAATAGTCACCTCGTTACCATGGCACACGTTGGCAGCGTGTTCTGTGTGCGCTTCACCGGTGATGGATGGCTCTCACGTGCTGTCAGGAAATGACAACCTTCAGTCTCTTTCCTCTCCCTTCCTTTTCGCTTCTCTGTGCGTCTCAGGGTGTTCTGTGTGCGGTTCAGCGGCGACGGCTCATACGTACTGTCAGGCAGTGACGATGCCAACATCCGCCTCTGGAAAGCACAGGCCTCGCAGCAGCTCGGTGTGCAGGTGAGTGAGCTCTGCGGCATGATAGTCTTGCGCAGATGAGATGGGTGTGCAGGTGAGTGAGCTCTGCGGCATGATAGTCTTGCGCAGATGAGATGGGTGTGCAGGTGAGTGAGCTCTGCGGCATGATAGTCTTGCGCAGATGAGATGGGTGTGCAGGTGAGTGAGCTCTGCGGCATGATAGTCTTGCGCAGATGAGATGGGTGTGCAGGTGAGTGAGCTCTGCGGCATGATAGTCTTGCGCAGATGAGATGGGTGTGCAGGTGAGCTGCCATGGGTTCAGTGGCGACGGCTCGTACGTGCTGTCAGGCAGTGACGATGCCAACATCCGCCTCTGGAAAGCACAGGCCTCACAGCAGCTGGGCGTGCAGGTGAGATGCCTTGAGTGGTGGGCGCGGTAGATAGGCATGATAGGCATGGTAGGCGCCAACACCCCCTCTCTTCTTCTGCCCCGGTCACACTGTTGCGTTGCCTCACTCCTCCTCTTGTCCCACCATCCCACTGCCGCTTGGTGCGTACCGCGGCCTGACAGGTGAAGCGGGAGAAGCGCAAGGCGGAGTACAACGCAGCACTGGTGGAGAGGCACCAACCAACACGTCCTCTCTCCCCTTGCCCCTGTCTCACTGCCCTCCATTCCACCATCACCTTGCCCTTGACCTGTGTTGCGTGCCCAGCAGGTGAAGCGGGAGAAGAGCAAGGTGAAGTACAATGCAGCGCTGGTGGAGAGGCACCTACACACCCTTTCACTGCCGCTTCATCCCACCATCCCACCATCCCTTAGCCGCTGTGCATGTGCCGCACCGAATTGCAGGTGAAGCAGGAGAAGCTTTGAGTCGACTCAAAATTCGACTTATCACTCACTTGTGCTGCACCGAATTGCTGGAGAAGCGCTTCGGTGCGGAGTACAACGCAGCACTGGAAAGTGGGGTAGGAAGGGGAAAGTGGGGAGGAGGAAGAGGAAGCGGGCAAGGTTGGTGGGAAATGGGAGAAAGGTGGTGGACCATAGTTGTGTGCTCAGTGCCTGTTCAACTTCCCATTTTCGTATGTCCTCTCTTCTCCCACCTCTCACCTCCCCATTCTGTCCTCTCTCCTCTCACCTTCTATGTTCCTTCTCTCCCAGGCGCCGGCATATGCCGCGACATCAAGCTGTGTGCTATCTCACCTCCCACCTACCTCTCACCGCTCCCATCTTCCCTCTCACCTCTCACCCCTCACCTCCCGAATTGTTTGTTCCCTCCCCCAGGCACCGGCACGTGCCACAGCCGATTCACAACGCCATCAAGCTGCGGGCCACGATGGTGGCGGCAGAGAAGCGCAAGGAGGAGAACCGGCAGCGGTTCAAGAAGAAGAGCAAGGGCGTGGAGAAGAAGGACAATAAGAAGAAGGGCGAGCGCCGGAATAAGATCATTGCCGAGCTGGAGTAGGTGCAGGGAGCATTTACCTGTTTTATTCGTCTGTTCAGCGTTGTATGCACAGTTTCTTTCAGTTAAGTCTAAACATTTCTTTGGCCGCGCACACCCACCATGAATCAAGATGGTGTGGCAAGAAAAAAGCCTGTGACAGAGAAGGCAACAAATCGGAGAGCCTTTTGAAATAATATGTGATAAACGGCTGGAGTGAATCTGCAATCTGGTAATATGCTACATCCAACAAGAGGATATGATAAAACCACACCTGATATGATCCTAAATTGTTGCACTACGGATTGTCTTCACCCTATTAAGCTGAAATGAAACCGTGTTAGACTCCAAAAGGAGGATGAAAGTGGCGTCCCGCCTAATTTGAATGTGGTCGGTCTGACACAAGCACAAAACCTCGTCAACAACGCATGCTGATGGCGTGTCATCAGGTCATCACATCACTAAGACATTCACGGCATCTGGAGGCACGGGTGTGGTTGGTTGTAAAGCTTGTAACGAACCATACCATAGTCAAATCATCCTGGATATTACTCTTAGCCCACATTACGGAACCTGATCCTTGGCTTGCCTTGTCATGACTGTCGCCTTCGCGGTCCGTCGCGGGACCGCGCGGCGTCAGTCGATTAACTCTCTCACGAGGAGCATTGCTCATCTCGGCTGGTTCCGTTCTCCCGAGTTAATTAGTAATTATCAAGTCATCCTTTCGCCACCCCATAGGAGAACTTCGGAGGAGGCTTGTAGCGGGGACACACCGTTGCTGCCGGCGTGCGGTGCAGATTCGCCGATCCGCGACGGTCTCGCCCGGAATCTTCACTCTCGCTTCTGTCACTCGCAATCGCGGACACGCGCGAAGCACTTATCCGCGATAGAGTATCGCTCGTCTAAGTTACGGACGGATTGGCGGGCTATTCACAGCGGGGATGGCGGAAGCAGTGGGGGGAACAGTAGCGGTCGGAATGTGACGGTTCCGCGCACCCCTCAGCAATACTTTGACCTTCTGTGCTCAGGTAACACCTCCCCCTGCTGTGCTTCTCAGGTAACACCTCCCCTTGCTGTGCTCAGGTTAAACCTCCCCCCGCTGTGAGAAGGAGAAGATGCTTCAGCCTTGCTCAGTTAACACCTCCCCCTGCTAAGGCAAGGAGCAACAGGGCAACAGCAAGGTAACATCTGCGGATGCTTCAGTTTTTCACTCCCAACCCTCCACTCACTCCCCTCCATCCTTGCTCAGAGCACCCCTTTCAGGTGTGTGAAGCAGGGGAGGCAGGCAGAGCGGTGGTGGCGACGAGGCAAATAGCAGAGGGGGAAGTGGTGCTGGCAACTGCTCCTGTTGTGTCACACCCCGCACTGCAACACGTTGGGAAGGTGGGCAAGCTTTGCCAAGTTCTTTGTAACCGGTCCGGGTGTGTGAAGCAGGGGAGGCAGGCAGGGCGGTGGTGGCAACGAGGCAAATAGCGGAGGGGGAGGTGGTGCTGGCAACTGCTCCTGTTGTGTCACACCCCGCACTGCAACACGTTGGGAAGGTGGGCAAGCTTTGCCAAGTTCTTTGTAACCGGTCCGGGTGTGTGAAGCAGGGGAGGCAGGCAGGGCGGTGGTGGCAACGAGGCAAATAGCGGAGGGGGAGGTGGTGCTGGCAACTGCTCCTGTTGTGTCACACCCCACATTGGAACACGTTGGCAAGGTGGGTGAGTTAGTTGTTGTGAGGCGTTTCTACGGTTAGTGCTGCAGACAGTTACCGCTGTTGTGTCACACCCCACCCGTTGAAACACGTTGGGAAGGTGCGCAAGCTTGGACATGCCGGCCATCACAACTTTATGGGCAACCTTGGGCATATTTCTTGGTATTTGTAGAGAGGGTGTTTTTGAGACGTCTCAAAAACACCCTCTCTACACGTGGCCATCACAACTGTATGGGCATACTTGGCATATTTCTTAGTATTTTCGCCTCCCCTTTGAGGCTTCACGTCTCATTGTCCCTTTGTAACTCTCCCCCTTCTCATTTCCACATTATATTGGCACTTTCTACCACACTCCCACCACACTCCCACCACACCCGCACCACGCTCTTACCAGGTGTGCTACTTGTGTCTTGGGCCGCTGGCAGCAAAGCAAGAGCACCACACACATAGCGATGGAGGGGGGAGGGGGGATGAGCAAGGTGACTATAACGAGCGGCTGTTCTGCAGTAAAGCGTGTGCTGATGTGGCATGGGTAAGTGTACCCACACTGTGCGGACCACACACACGCAAGCGAGCGCCGTCAATGTCTCCTGGTGAAGGCACCTAGTGCCAACACCTAGTTGCGGTGTTTCCGAGAGTTACTGAAGCACACTTTTGTCCATATCTTCACGTTTTTTTTTTCATTCAACTGTTCACATATGTCTTTTTTGCGGCCCACCCTCGCTGCCCTGGCAGCATGACTTCTATGCCCTGGAGAGCACAGCTGTCTCTTCACTCGTTCGCTTGCCTGTATCCGAGTTAACCCGAACTTCACGCATGTCTCACATGCCGCCCCTCCCCTCGCCGCCCTGACAGCGTGACTTCTATGCCGTGGAGAGCACAGCCATCTCTTCCCTCGCCTCCTTCATGCATGTCTCACGTTCCTCCTGCCTCCCCCACCCTCGCCGCCCTGGCAGCATGACTTCTATGCCGTGGAGAGCACAGCTGATTGGTCCGACCTGCATCAGCACTGCAGGTGAGGTGACTGCTGCAGGTGACTGTAGGTCAGTTGACTGTAGGTCAGTTGACTGTAGGTCAGGTGACTGTAGGTCAGGTGACTGCTGCAGGTCCATACCACATCCCCATCTGCATAGTAACCCGAATCCACTGCATCACCCCTACCAGGATCCACTCACTCCTCCTCCCTCTTGTGGCCAAGCGCCTAGCCTGCATGGTGCTGGCTGGTTGTGATCCTCACCCCATCCCCCCATCAACCCATCGTCCCAATCAACCCGTCCCCCTGTCTCCCCATCCCCCCCGCCCCGTCCCCTCTACCAGGACCAACTCGATCCGCTTCCCTCTGGTGGCCAAGCGCCTAGCCTGCATGGTGCTGGCTGGTTGTGATCCTCACCCCATCCCCCCATCAACCCATCGTCCCAATCAACCCGTCCCCCTGTCTCCCCGTCCCCCCCGCCCCGTCCCCTCTACCAGGACCAACTCGCTCCGCTTCCCTCTGGTGGCCAAGCGCCTAGCCTGCATGGTGCTGGCAGGAACTGCGTCTGCCAATGTGCTCCAGCCGCTGTGCCATGTGGCTGAGACTGGCAACAGTGCTGCCATCCCTGCTGTGGTGAGCCCATTACCCTTTGTTCTTCAAATAGTATGAGGTATGCTGCTGGCCGGCACTGCCTCTGCCAATGTGCTCCAGTCGCTGTGCCATGTCACGGAAAGCGCTGGGCCTGGCATGCCTGCTGTGGTGAGCTGCTTACACATTGTGATCTCAGCTAGAATGGGGCCTGCATGGTGCTGGCAGGAACTTAGGCTTAGAAGGGGTACATTAGTAATGAGCTTGAAGCTCTTTAAGTACATCCAAGAAGGGGAGGGAATGGATGGGGAAGGGAATCGGGGGCAATCCATAGGGATTGGGGGTAATCCCAAGGCAATCTCCAATTGGTGGGTTGGAGATTGCTTGGAGATTACATTTGGGTTTGGTGGGATGTAGGTGTACACCCAACCAAACACAATGTGCAAACTACAGTACTCTAGGATATAGAAAATACAAAGTACAAAGTGTGAGATTGAAGGCTAACACTAACACCCCCCCATAGGCGTCAATCGAACTCATGGTAGAGAGGGTGGTGCACAGAGCCCCATGGCGCCTAGGAGACGGTGGTGGGGAACTTTCCCAAGGGGCTTGGTGAACAGATCAGCCAGGTTGCAGTCAGATGCAACGTATTCCACTTTCAGCTGCTCCTGTTGGACAAGGTCACGGATGAAGAAGTGCCGAAGTTCAATATGCTTGGTGCGGGTGTGATACACAGGGTCTTGAGAGATGTGGATGGTACTCCCCAGAGGGTGGGGGCGGACTGTGGGAAACCAAGCTCCTGGAGTAGGAAGGTGAGCCAACGGGCCTCCTGAGCAGCCATGGTGCCTGCGTAGAGCTCTGCCTCACAGGAGGAGAGGGAGACTGCAGACGACCTGGTGGAGCGCCAACTGACAATTCTGCTCCCAAGGGTGAAGCAGTACCCCTGAGAGGAGCGTCGGTCGGTCTGGTCATCAGCCCAGGAGGAGTCGGTGTAACCTTCCAGGCGAGGAGGGGAGAGCCCACCGAGTGTGAGAACGTGAGACTTGGTGCCCTGAAGATAGCGCAGCACCCGCTTCGCCGCCTTCCAGTGAAGATCAGTGAAGCGTCCAGGGGCCACGTAGCGAGAGAGGACACTGACAGGATAGGCCAAGTCCGGTCGGGTGCACATCATGGCGTACATGAGGGACCCAACAAGCTCCGGGTATGGCTCAGAGCAGGCCTCTAGTGTGGGTACAGCTGGAGCAGTGAGGAGGTGTTGCAGCGGCAGCGGGGTGGCAACAGGTGTGCACAGCTCCATCTCAAACCGCTTGAGCACATTGTCGATGTAGGACTCCTGGGAGAGTGAAATGGTGCGAGCCTGGCGATCACGAGTGATCTCCATCCCCAGGTAGTGCTTGAGGTTACCGAGGTCTTTCATCTGGAGAGCCTTGCTCAGGGCTGCCTGGACAGAGGTCATCTGGGCCGAGTCCTTGGCAACGAGGATAAAATCATCCACGTAGACCAGGATGTAGAATGGCTCAGAATGACGGCGGATGAAGAGAGTCGGGTCAGCAGTTGAAGGGTGGAAGTCCAGGGAGAGGAGGACTTCTTTCACCTTGTTGTGCCATTCGCGAGGGGCTTGCTTAAGGTCGTAGACGGGGCGATTCAGCTTCCAGACAGTGTTGGGAGGGAATTCTCCTGGGAAGCCTTCTGGTCTGTCCATGAACACCGTCTCCTTGAGACGTCCTTGTAGGAAGGCGGATGAGGCATCCATGGATTTGATCTCAAAGTCTTCTCGAGCTGCGACATCCATGAGCGTACGAATGGTGGGAGGTTTGGATGTGGGGGAGAAGGTTAGGAAGAAGTCGCGGTACTGCTGCTGGGTGAAGCCCTTGGCTACGTAACGCGCTTTGAACACCGGGGCCTCGTCTGGGAGCTGTTTTACACGGAACAACCACTTGCCCCCGACGATGTTGACTCCTGGAGGTGGTGTCTCGTCGTCGAAGGAGTGGTTGCGGGTGAATGCTGCAATCTCCGCTTCCATGGCAGCACGCCATTCGGCAGCATGAGGGCCTGAGAGAGCCTCTTGGACGGTGAGAGGGATAGGGATGGTCGGGTTCTCCGCGAAGTTGAGGGAGGGTGAGTCAGTGATGTCGGGGAAGATGTGCGAGAGCTGAGGAGTGACTGCATGAAGATCACACAGCTCCTCATGCCTGTCTTCCAGAAGGGTAGAGGGCACATCCCCCCCAGCAGGAGGAGGCGGTGTGATCGCCGTGTATCGAAGAACCAGCGCTAGTGGAAGAGCCGCGCCATGCGAACGAGTGCCATGAACCACCGGAGAAGAGGGTGGGGCAGGCGGTGTCGGAGGGGTTGACTCAGGAGGCTTGGGCGGGGGAATGGGCCGCCGGTGATACGTGATCAGCTCGGGCGACTGTGGGAGAGCGGGTTCCTCTGTGGTGGGGGGAACCGGGGGAGGAGGTGGGGCCGGAGGGTGGGACCGCCGATGGTAGGTGATAGGTGCGCTCGGAGGTGGCTGCACAGTCGGCGGAGTGGGAAGTGAGGGGGATGGAGGAGCAGCTGCCGAAGACACCGGTGAGGGCGGGTCAGAGACCGCAGAGTGGTACGGTGCGGTGGCAGGAGGGGTAGGGGGTGAAGGGGCCGGAGCAGGCGAGAGGTCAGGAGGCGCATCAAAGTCTGCTCACACGAGGGAGGGTGGGTAAGGGAGAGGGTCCCGTCCCGAAGTGGAGTAGAATGGGCGGGTCTCATCAAAGACAACGTCGCGGCTCCGGACCAAATGCTGAGTGGAGGGATTGAGGAAGAGGTAGTCAGGCGAGTCGGCGTTGTGTCCGAGGTAGATGCATGTCTGGGTCTTGGGACCGAGCTTGCCGCCGTGCTGCCGTCGAGCCTGAGGGTTGAGGAGGACATAGGCGGTGCACCCCCAAATGCGAAGAGAGCGAGCAGTGGGCGTTTTCCCAAGCCAGAGTGTGGTTGGAGTGGTGTCGGGAAGATGCGGGTGGGGGTAAAGGTTGTAGAGGAGGGCGACGTGGTAGAGAGCGTACCCCCAGAGAGAGTGTGGAGCGTTGGAGTGGCTGAGGAGGCACCAAGTGATCTGCACCAGGGTGTGGTTGCGGCTCTCAGCTATGCCGTTCTGCTGCGGGCTGTCAGGGAGGGTGAAGTTTTGCTGGATGCCTTCTGAGGAGCAGAAGGCTTTGAGCTTGTCGTTGCAAAACTCACCACCACCATCTGAGTGGAGGCGCTTGACTTTGCGGTCAAAGGCGGTCTGTGCCTGTTTAACCCACGCCATGAGGACCTCTGGAACCGCAGCCTTAGTGTGGAGGAGGTGAACAGAGACGTAGCGAGAGTGGTCATCGACGATAACAAGGAAGTAGCGATAACCACCTCGTGCGGGAACAGGGGCAGGGCCCCAGACGTCCAGGTGTACCAGGTCCAGTGGTCCTGCTGCGACAGAGGGTGAGGCCGGGTGGGGCTGTTGACGCAGTTTGCTCTTGGTGCAGTCAAGGCACGTGGGAGCGGGGGAGTCTGGTGGTGGAGGAAGTGAGGCTGGCTGGCCGAGTAGAAGTTTCTTGGAGGCCATGTCAGCAAGTGTGCGGAAGTTTGGGTGCCCGAGCCGATGGTGGTAGAGTATGGTCGGGTTGGAGAAACTGCGGCACGAACATGGTGAGGTAGTCGCCGCTGTTTGGGTGGTTGACACCTGTGGGATGGGTACTTGCAGCGTGTAAAGGCCGCTGCTGTTGAGGGTGAAACGAGTCAAGACCTTGTTGGTGAGTGGGTCGAGGATATCACCATAGTTCTCGTTCTCCCAGAAGATGGTGCGTAGTCCAGCTTCCTGAATTTCCGTTTGGGCCACGAGATTGTGGCGGAGTGAAGGCACGCACATTCCAGTGACAGTGCCGGAAGGGAAGGCGGGACACGGGACTGTGGATGAACCCTTGGCATGAGTGGTGAAGCTTGAGTCAGCTCCTAGGAGAGGGATGGGTGTTGCGTAAGGTTTGAAGGAGAGTGTCTCCTTGAGTACAGTGTGTGTGGCGCCGCTGTCGAGTGTGAGCTCTATGTATTGTGGTGCTTGTGATGAGCCGAGGTACTGGGAGGAAGCTTCATTAATCATGGCAGTGCCAGAGAACAATAGGTTGATACGGGCATCAGCAGGAGCACTATCACTAGCACTAGCCGAAGCGGGGTCCTGGACCTCAACCAGGTTGGCCTTACGCGCACGCATCCAGTTCAGTGGCCTCTTGTCTATGCCGTGGATGGCGTACCATTCGTCGTCCTTCTTCTTGAAGCACGTAGCAAGAGGGTGGTTAGTGCCACCACACACTTGTCCCTTGCGGTTGCCATACTTGACGACGTAGGTGCACCGTGGGAAGCGGTTGCGCTGGAGGGGCGCCGAGGCAAGGGCCGATGCGACACTGGCTTGAGGCATGGGAGCACGGATGGCGTAAGCCTTGGCCTGAGCCGTGGAGTCTTTCTCGGCAGAGAGGAGTGCGGTGGAGACCTTGGCAAAAGTGAGGTCTTCCGCAGTCAGTGTGAGGAGCATCTTCCTTGTGATTTCATAGGTTGTGGTGAGACCAACGAGAAGAGCTGCTGCAGGGGCCTGTCCGGGGAAGACTATACCCAGCTCCTTGAGTTCGCCATGAATGGTCTGAACCTTGGCAATGTAGTCGGCCATTCCCGAGCAATCCTCAAGGTGGACCTGGAACATGCTGGGGATGAGGATGGCAACTCCGACTGCAGTCTTGTTCATAAACCGATCCTGGAGATACTTCAGATGGCGTTGGAGGTAGGGTAGTTATGGAACGTGTTGACAAGTTCTGGAGGGGTGGAGGCGATGAAGACGCTGATAATTGCAGCATCGGCCTTCTCCCACTTCCGGTACTTCTCAACGGCTTCCTCATATGCCTTTGTGTCAGCCTCACTAGCGGATTCGGTCGGCTCGCGAGGGAGAAGGGGCTGTTTCCCCTTGCCACGGTTGAGGAGGACATCCTTGAGGTCCAATCCCTGCACGTCACGGCTCAGCAGGTGCTTGTCAACCCCATAGCTCCATGCCTTGAAGTTGGAGCTAGAGCCATCGGCGTCAAGACGGAGTGGGGTGATGGGGTTGGCCATGGTGGACGAGGCGAATGCCATGATGGAGACCCCTTAGGGTGTCGCGCGGAGCGCCGCTCTTGAGTCAACGATAGGAACTTGAGGTTTGGGGTTTTCGAAGGAGATTTTGAAGAACCGGAGGTTTAGGGTTTACGAAAGAGAATTTTGAGGTTTAGGGTTTCTGAAGGAGAATTCGACTGAAACGCCAATTTAGTGTCAACTACCTACTAATCCTATTCCCACACACCCCCCCACACACCACCCTCAGCTTCTCGGCTGCGCTGCTGCTCGGCTTCGCGGCTACACGGCTGCTCGGCTTCGCTGCTGCTCGGCTGCGCTGCTGCACCTGTTCAGCTGCGGGAAAGGGAGGGGGATGGGGGTAGGAGTGCAGATGCGGAGCGGCGGGCGGCAGCCCGAAGGTGAAGCTGCAGGGCGACGGGCGACAGCCCGACGAGGTATCATGATCCGCGTGTGCGGCTTGAAGGGCTCTGATACCATCTTAGAACTTAGGCTTAGAAGGGATACATTAGTAATGAGCTTGAAGCTCTTTAAGTACATCCAAGAAGGGGAGGGAATGGATGGGGAAGGGAATCGGGGGCAATCCATAGGGATTGGGGGTAATCCCAAGGCAATCTCCAATTGGTGGGTTGGAGATTGCTTGGAGATTACATTTGGGTTTGGTTGGGATGTAGGTGTACACCCAACCAAACACAATGTGCAAACTACACTACTCTAGGATATAGAAAATACAAAGTACAAAGTGTGAGATTGAAGGCTAACACTAACAGCGTGCTGTGGTGAGCTGCTTACTTATTGTGATCTCAGCTAGAATGGGGCCTGCATGGTGCTGGCAGGAACTGCCTCTGCCAATGTGCTCCAGCCGCTGTGCCATGTGGCTGACACCGGCGACGGTGCTGCCGTCCCTGCTGTGGTGGGCTTCTTGCCCTTTGTTCCTCAGATAGAATGCTGTCTGCATGTTGCTGGCCGGCACTGCCTCTGCCAATGTGCTCCAGCCGCTGGGCCATGCCAACGAGGTAATATATGCCCACTCCCAGGGTGTGGCAGCGTGCACCCCATATCTTTGGGGTTGACAAGCAAGACCGGCACGTGGGGTTGAACCCGAACCCACTCGCTTCGGAAGTGACCCAACTAACAGCTGAACCACTTCAGTCGTGTTTTAAGTTGACTCAAATCAGTGACCCAATCAACAGCTGAGCCACTTCAGGATGGGCAACATTGTTACAAGAGTTCAGGATGAGCATAGATCATGCTCTTGTCCTCGCTTGCGAGAAGTCGCATGCTAACGCAACTGTAACCACCGTGCTGCGCTGCCTCTCCCACTCACTCTCTCCTCTCCCCTCTCTTTTCTCGCCTCCCTCTCCACTCTCCGCGCCAGTGGCAGCAAGAGCATGCATACATCTACTCTGCGCTCTCCTCTCTCCTCACAACAGCACAGGCAGCAGGGCAGGGCACAGTCCGCTCCCTTTCATGTGCGTGACGTGAGAATGATGCTCTTGATTACATGCTCGCATGCTTTTATGCCCACAGTCCCACATGCCCACCACATGCTCACATGCTGACCAACAAGCTCACATACATGCCATATGCTCACTTGCTCATAACTCGTTTCTCATCCCCCAGCTCCCATCCCAATGGAGCCCCAAGTAGGAGCCATGGCTTGCGTGGCAGCGGCTGCTTTAGCAAACAGTTGCTTTGGTTAGTTTTTGCTTGCTTGTAAAAAACCTTTGTGTAAGAAAACCTTCGTTTCTCATCCCCCAGCTCCCATCCCTCGAGGTGACTTTTGAGTCGACTCAAAAGTCACCTCGTTGCCATATGCTCACTTGCTCATATCTCGTTTCTCATCCCCCAGCTCCCATCCCTCATCCCCCGTCACTGCTTTTCCTTCGGATACCCCTCTAAGCCCCGTCACTGCTTTTCCTTCGTATCTCCCGTCACTGCTCTAAGCCCTGCATTTCTCTGATCCCCTAAACTCTCTCCCCACCAGTCTTCACCGCTCACTGGTACGCCTCTCTCCTAGCGCGCCTGCATCTCAACGCCTTCCGCCTCGCGCCGCTCCTCTCTGTCACCACCACTGCAGCAGCGGCTGACCACTCTCTCTTCGACTCAACCATGCCAGACGGCATCTCGCTCTCCTCGGCTGCACTCTTTCGAGCAGCGAGTGCAGCAGTGACGGGCGACGAGGCGGTCGGTACGGGGGTGTACCTCCTTCCTTCCTTCTTCAACCATGACTGCGGTGGGTGCTCTTAGCTTGATGCCTGCAACAAGCAGAGCACGCAGACACAGACACGGGGGTGTACCTCCTTGCTTCCTTTCTCAACCATGACTGCGGTGCGTGCTCTCTGTTTGGTGCGTGTACCGACTCTGAGTGGCGAGTGCTACAGTGGCGGGGGTCGGCACGGGGGTGTACCTCCTTCCTTCCTTTTTCAACCACGACTGCGGTGCATGCTCTCTGTTTGGTGTGCGGACCTACTCTTGTGGTGCCTCAACTCTCCACAGCAGCACTCTTCCGAGCAGCGAGTGTGGCGGTGGCGGGGGATGAGGCGGTCGGTACGGAGGTTTATCTTCTTCTTCCTTCTTTTTCCAGCCATGACTGAAGTGCGTGCGTGTCCTGTGAGGCATGCTCGGGTCTATTCTTGAGGCGCCTCAACCACCCTCTCTGCTCACGTACTTACCCCTCCGCCCATCCACCCCTCCAACCGTCCATTACCCAGACCCCAATCTGGACATCTCATGGCCCACTGACACTACAGCCACGCTCCAAGATGCTCTCATGGTCACATGCTTTCCCGTGGATCCATCCACCCATGCACCCATCTACCCCCCCCATTGCCAGACCCCGATCTGGACATCTCATGGCCCACTGACGCTACAGCCGTGCTCCGAGCCAGACGGGATATCGAAGCTGGTGAGGCTGTGCTGTATGGATTCCTCATCTGTTGAGATAAGATAAGTCTACTGTATTGCTCCTCTTGTTCTCTGTATGTCCTGCTGCTGTATCTCCTGCTGCTGTCCCTGCTGCTGCTGCTGCTGCTGATGATGATGATGATGATGATGATGATGATGATGATGATGATGATGATGATGATGATGATGATGATGATGATGATGATGATGATGATGATGATGATGATGATGATGATGATGATGATGATGATGATGATGATGATGATGATGATGATGATGATGATGATGATGATGATGATGATGATGATGATGATGATGATGATGCTGATGATGCTGAGGCTGATGCTCCTGCTGCTCATTACCGACCGTATCTGCCACCCCACATGCCCATACCTCCAGGAGAGCACCTCACAATAACGTACCTGGACAGCAGCCTCGGGAGGGAGGCTCGGCAGAGGCATCTGAAAGGGGCGTATGGGTTTCACTGCACGTGCCAGCGCTGCCAGCAAGGGGACCTGTAGATAACTGGTATGACCATTGTAGGCGACCTTTGGTTGGTACGGTAGATATCGTCGCGTGTTGATTTGAATGAACAGAAAGCATATTCATTCATTCGTTTGCACCGAAAGTGGTAGTCTCTAATAAGGAGCTCGGCAGAGGCATCTGTATGAGGCATATGGATTGCTGCTGCACTGCACCCGCCAATGCTGCCAGCAAAGGAATCCAATAGCTGACCCATAGTCGGTCTGGTGGTGCGTCTGGTATGCCTTGACCAAAAATATTTTGTAAAAAGATGTTGGTGCTTAGATGGTGCTCCCTGGAGTGTTCTGAAGCACTTGTGTTTTTTATTCGAAAAAATATATTCTGCACTACAAGAGTTGCATTCACATACTGCATTCCTAATGGTCACCACAATCACACACATCAGCAGCTGAAGTAGTGCAAGTCATCATCCATCAATTGACCCATCAGCCTCAAAGGGTCATGTCCTCCTCCTAACCCTACTAGGCCTCCTCCCAAACCTCCTCCTAAGCCTCCTGCTATCCCTCCAGCTATCCCTCCTGCCATTGCTGCAGCAGCATCACCCATCCCGAACATGTTCTCATGACCATCAACACCACCAGCACCAGCAGCAGCACCACCGCCGCTGCCGCCACTGCCACTGGCGCCGTTGCTGCCACCATAACTCCCCATCATGCCCCCATCCCACATACCCAACTCATCAACACCCCCCCCACCACCAATCGCACACTCCTCTCCTGCCAGTTTCTCAAACCCACCGAACTGACCCGCACCAGCAGCAGCACCACTCCCCTCCGCCCCGTCAGCTTCATCCCGAACCTCCGCCATAGGCTCGGTCATGGTCCGGCCGAGCGTGCGCTCGCCAGGCACCAAGGCTTGGAGGTCCGACAAGGCTCGGCGCTTCATCCTGGTTTGGAGCTGGCCCTTGGCCCACGATCCAACGGTTGCGATCAACTCCTCCTGCTGCTGCTGCTGGGCGATTATAGCAGCGAGGCGCGGCGAGATGGCGGGAGCAGCAGGAGAAGCAGGCGTGGCAGAAGGGAGGAGAACGGACGGACGAGTGAATTGGTTACTCGCGGAGTTACCAGTGCTGCTACTCTTGCTGACGCCCCCGATGTTGCTCAAGCCTGTGTTGCTCAGAGCATGGCTGCTGCTGATGTTGCTCACTCGGTTGTGGTTGTTGCTCACTGCATCATTACTTGATGTCATGCTTCCGATGCCCCCGTCGCTCCCCGTTTTCTCGCCTGCTTCACCGACGCTTGACAGCCCAGCTTTCTCCTCTCCCAGTCGCGCCATCTGCTGTTGCTGCTGCTGCTGGTGTTGCTGCTGCTGCTGCTCGTGTTCCTGCAACTGCTTGTGTAATTCATCTCCGTGTTGCTGCTGCTCCTGAAGCTGCCTCTGCAGCTGCAGCTGCTGACGGTTCAGCTCTCTCCTCCGCTTCTCCAACTGTTGATGCTGGCTCGGATGCTGCTGCTGCTGTTGCTGCTGCTGCTGTTGCTGCTGCTGCTGCTGCTGCTGCTGCTGCTGCTGCTGCTGCTGCTGCTGCTGCTGCTGCTGCTGCTGCTGCTGCTGCTGCTGCTGCTGCTGCTGCTGCTGCTGCTGCTGCTGTCGCATCTCCTCTCCCTGCTGCTGCTGCTGCTGTTGCTGCTGATTAATAGCAATGCCACCAGCCATGCTGCTGTAAGCCGGGAAGGGATGGCCCATGGGGGGCATGTGGAAGGCGTACGGATGGGCAGAGGCATGCGCTGCATGTGCTGCATGTGCTGCATGTGCGGCATGGGCCGCATGTGCCATGTGATGGTGGTGCATGGATGGTGGTCCCATTCCTGCCATACCCATCATGTTGCCGGGCTGCCCGAACATCATCCCTGGAAACATTTCTCCGAACTGCCCGCTGCCCGGGGCAGCTCCTGTCGGCAGGCCAATGGCAGGAGGCGGGTGAAAGGAATCACCCGGAAAGCTTCCTTGTCTCAATAACTGAGCTTGATGCTGATGGTGCTGCTGCTGCTGCTGGTACTGCTGCTGGTGCTGCTGGTGGTTGTTGTAAGGGAAATTCGGGTGGGATACTGGCTGTGCAGCAGCAGCAGGCTCTGCAGCAGGAGTGGCAGGAGCGGGAGGGGCACGGGAGGAGTTTGAGAGCCTTGACTTGGATTGACTCTGCTGACCGTGCTGCTGCATGCTCGCCTTGATGGCGGCGGCTGTAGCAGCCGCGGACGCGAACGCAGCAGGGTCCTTGCCAGACGGCTTGCTGCTGCCGCCACCACTCGCTACAGCCGAACCACCAGCAGAACCAGCCACACCAGCAGCGCCGGCGGCGGCGGCGGGATTTCCAGAAGGAAGGAAGGAGGAGGCACTCGCGCTCCTGCGAATGGGGCAGCTGCTGCCACCACCGGTGTGAGCACCAGTGACGCCAGCAGCGCCAGCAGGAGCAGGGGAGCCCGAACCTGCGAGCTTCGGGCGGAACGGGCAGGAGGCTTGGTGAAGGTTCCGGGCGTTGCGGTCAGCAAAGGCGTTGCTCCACTGGTGCTTCGGGCAGCGGTCGAACGGGCAGAGAAAAACCCGGTGCTCAGGAGCCAAAGACCCCGCACCCTGTGTGAGCGAAGCAGCAGCAGCGGCCGCGGCAGAAGCGGCAGAAGCGTTGGTGAGGTTGCTTGTACCGGAGAACACAGTAGCGGGGATGTTCAAAATTTCTTGCTCCGTCTTGACTCTGCTAGCCGAACGGCCAGGTGCTTCAGGCGCGTACTCGTCGTAGTCCGCCCCGTTACCAGCTGCGGATAATTTAAAGCTCCGCTTATCCTCCCCCGCTTCAATCGCGCCGGCGCGCATCTTTCCGCTCAGAATTTCCGCCAGAAGCGCGTTCGTGTCCACGCCCGTCAAGTCCGCTCCGCGGATCCCTCCACCAATTCCGCCGGTAATTCCGCCGTCGCGCTCAAACGCACCCGCGCCGGGGGTTCTTACGGGCGATCCGGCAGCGAACGGGTCGAATTTCGCCGCGTCTTCGAGCCGCCCTTGCGCTTTGAGAATTTCCGCCTCCTCCTGGTCGAGCACGGCGTTCCACGTGGCACTCTCCCGCGCCGTCATCTTATCCTGCAGGCACTTGCTCTGACGAACCAGCTTCCGAATGCGCGCCACGTCAGGACACAGATGCCGAATCACTGACGTCAGCACGCCCACTTTCCACGCCTTCTTCAAATCGTGCGGTTTCTTGTACGGCGGCGGGCCGGTGCCACGTGTCAGCCCCAGCTGCGGCCACCATTGCTCCTCCCCGGACGGCCACCAGGGCGGCGGAACGCCCTTTTCGAGCGGAAATCTCCGCTGCGGGGGATCGCAGTGCTGCATCAGCGCCGAGAGAAGCGATCCCAGCGTCGTATCCTGCAGCTCCTGCAGCGTCTGCGGCGTCGCGAGCGCAGAAACCATCCCGCTCCCGCCAATTCCGCCAGCGCCGGGGACCATCCCGCCGGGAAACACGCTACCGTTCCCCCCGGCGGCAGCGGCGGCGGCGGCGGAAGAAGCGGCGGCCTGCTCCGCGTTGTAGCGCGCAATCGCCGCGGGGCCGTTGCGGTCGAAGCGCACCTTGTCCTTCCACCACGCGCGCAGATTGTCGGAGCTTCCGCCAACTGGCTTCCCCTTTTCGGGAATAATTCCGTACACGAAGCCCTGCGCGTTACACACCTCCATCATTTTGAGCATGTATTTAAGTATGCCGTCGTGCGCGCGCGACATCTTTTTCCGCCGCGCCTGGTCCTGCTGCGACTGCCGCTGCCGCGTCTTCTGCTCGTCCTCGCCCGCCGCGTCCTTCGGCGCATCCCCCGCCGCGTCTCCCGCCGCATCTCTCGCCTCATCTGCCGGAGTCGTCATCTCGCCGTCTTTCGCTTTCTGGCCATCCTTGATTCGCTTCAGCTTCAGGCGATCCTTCCACATGCGACGCTCCAATTCGTCGACGTCAAACTCGTCGTCGGAGAAGCAGTCGCCGAAGTCGCAGGCGTCGCCTGCGATGAAATCCGCCATGTCGCCAAGATCGAGCTGACCGTTGATTAAGATTTCCGATTCCATCTTCTTGATTGAAGGAGCTGACTGCTGGAGAAGCAGACTTATTTTCAATCACTAAGGTTGAAACAGTCGAGTCGGCTCATATAAACCCCGGATGAACGGCAACTCGCTAATACACCTCCGCGATCTGGTACGTGAAATGTCCTCGAGCCTCGGAGCAGGAGCGGGTGACGCGGCGACACGTGGCACACCGGCCTGATAGGCTCACAGAGTGTGGCTGGAAAGGATGTTCCCAGAATTGTTCCGAGAATTTTAAAATCCCGACAGAAAGAACTGGAGAAATCTTTCAAAGCTTGTGGGATATGGCGGGAAGATGAGCTGCTTTAGGGATTCGATGCTGACGGAGTGAGGAAGCAGCGAAAATTGGTTTCAGAGACAAACTTCGACTCATAAGCGATCGCTAAGCGGCCAGCAGTTAGAACATCCTAGTTTCGAATCACTTGATTTCGATTTGACACTGGAATTGCTGTCTGACAGAGTGTGGAGCGCAATACTGAATGGCTGAAGTAGTGATGCAAAACCGGTGCTAGCAGGGTGAGGTCGAGAGCAGCCGACGAGCACGAGGAGCGAGTTATAGCACAGACAATGGATGCTGGTGCTCACAAGAGAGATCTCTATTGACTAATATTCGTCCTCTCTGGGCCAGTCATATTCTCGCGTCAGGAATCCGGCAGCGCGACTATGGCGAACTGGGGTGGTTATGAACAGAAGATAAGATTACAAGCGACAAGAAAGATGGCGGTGGTGAGGGAAGGCGAGGCGAGCTTGTGTGACTGGCTGATGGGAGAAGAAAGGAAGTGGTTGAAGATCGTTGTGGCAGTCCCAGGCTTGAGGGCTGCCCCGGTTTGTGGCTGTAAGAGCGCTCCTCTGAGTCTCAAGAGCTGAGGGATGTGAGGGATGATGGTGCAAGGAAGGAAGCTAAATGGGTGGCTTTGAGATGATTCGCTGTGACAGCGCGATTTACACTCGTGGCGCTGGGAGCTGTTCAGGGCTGGAAGGAGGGGACGCGCTGCGCATGCATGCGCTGTGAGCCTCAGGAAGTCATTAGTCAATTGCTAAGGACGACAGAGGAAGAGAGCGAGAGGAGAGGGGAGAAAGGAGCGTAGGAAGAGAAGTGAAAAAGGGCGTTCAGCTCCTTCCCCTCCTCCACTCATCCTTCCACTTGGGCAATTTCCACGACTTGGAAAAGTCGAATCCATAGCTCGAGCGAATTGGACAAGCGAACAGCAAACTGCAGTGCGTGTGTGGCTGCAAGGAGGACGTTTCTCCTTGGCCACTGACGAAGTGGATAGGGATTGCGAAAAGGTGTCAAGTTGGTGGGGGTAAGATCAAACCACTGCTTACCTAACACATCAGCATCCGCAAATCCTGAGAAATGCGCCAATTGGGCGATTCAACAGAATCTGACCACATTTGCTGATTATTTCCGAGGTTGAAGTTCGAGATTTGAGCAAGGTACACGTCAGCCCTTGTAATATCAAGATCACTCATACCCACACGTTTGGTCAGCTAGAGCGCAGAAACTCCAAAATTCACCGAAGCAGAGAGCACACGCGAACAGCGAATGGTGGGAGCTGCCTTGTCAAGAACCACCCACCCATTGGGAACAGTCTTGCTGATCTGGCCAATACAGTGAGAGCTAGGAGCAAGCCATCTGGTTTGGAACGAATGGAAAAAAATGTTTTTGAAAGAATAAATGATTTCGCAGGCTGGGTAAAAAACTAATTGTTTTACCTAAGCTGCTTGATTTCCATCGTGTAGCCCTTCAGTGTGTGTCAGAGGAAGTCTTGGTCGTTTGAATACAGTAAATGTCAGAAGTCATGACATTCTGCTCGTGGTGAAAAGTGAACTTTGAAGGCCAGCTGGAAAACACATTCCCCGCCCCAGAAGCAGCACCTGAACTTGGCAGCTGAAGCTGTTGACGCACGCCCACGCAAGCGTGAACAATCGCATTCAAATGGCGGTGGGTAGGGTGGGTAGCAAGAGAGCGAATTTTCGCCAAGAAAACACAGCTTCCTCTGTTCCTCATCGTGCTGCTATTACCGCGTATAGGTCCGCGTCAAACATCTTGCATTTATACACCAAGCACAAACATAGACATTATTACACTTCTCCTTCACATGCTTTACAACCCAGAAACACAGACAATCAAAACATAACAAACTATGAATATAGTACTTCTTTACGCACCATATCTTGCTAAACAGAAGTAGTGCTGAAGATTCTACACACACACCCGCAGTCAGTCTTCAATAGTCAATAATTCAGTCCTCTCTGCCTCCTCCCACTTCACCACATATAAACACATTAAAACCAGGGTGCACATTCAACGCGGTTCGGCTTGAGATGTTGGGAAGGGGGTTTGGAGAAAAACAGTGATTGGCTCACGAGGGGCGACAAAAAAATGATTCCGCTAGAGCTTCGGGCATTTCGTAGGTGGCGGGAGGGGGTGAAATGGCGGGAGTGGGTGAAACCGAATGGCGGGAGGGATGAAACAGATTGGCGGGAGGGGGGGGAAACGAAATTGCGGGGGAGGGGGGAAACAAAATTGCGGGGGAGGGGGGAAACGAATTTCGACGGGGAGGGGGAAATGAAATTGCGGGGGCGTGGGGAAACGAAATTGCGGGGGAAGGGGGGAAACGAATTTCGACTTGAAGGGGTTGAAAGCACACCTCGTAACCCACTCAGTCAAGGGATAACCTTTGATGCACATTCAGCTGAATGTGCACCCCGGTTTTAACTCACATTCCAATCCAACCCCCCAACCCCAACCCAACCCCACACCCCCATCCTTCCCCCACCCCCTCCTCCCACTTCACACACAAAGACTCAACTTCCCCTTTCCACCTGTTTCCCACCCCCCTTTCCCCTCCCCCCTCTTATGCACACAGAGTAGCGTACATTGACACATGGGATGCGACTCCCCGCATCCCTCCCCTCCACACGGAGCAATCTGTCACTAATCTCCGCCTCCGCCTCAGCCTCCCCCTCCATCTCCTCCTCCGCCACCACCGCCTCCATCTCCCCCACCTCCACATCCGCCAGAGTCCCCTCCCCCCCAACCTCCCCCGGAATCACCGCCCCACCAACCTCCACCGGAATCACCTCCCCCGGTATCACATCCCCCTGAATCACCCCATCCGCCGAACCATCCACCCCCTCCGCTATCCCCGCACTCATCCGCCCCTGCCGCGTACGCATTTCCGCAGCACTCGACTGCCGCATCCTCGCAACAGTCAGTCCCGATATCGAGGGCGAGAAAAGCCGCCGCGTCGAACGACAGGCTCCTACTGTGATGGTGGCGATGGTGGGGATGGTGACCGCTCGTTCGCACAGTTCGGCCTTTGACGTGCGGCGCTTTCCCCTCGCGGTACAGCGGCAGCGCGGGGGGCACTTGGGAGAACGTATCGTAATCAGGAGTTCCCTTTTGAGGCGCAAAGGTCGGCTTATCCACCGTCAACGCGACTTTCACCTCCCCTGCAAACGAAGCACTCCGAAAGCGGACACGGGAGAGCTTGCACGTGGCAGAATACGGGGCGCCATAGTTTCGAATAGCTGGCTCCAGCAGGAATACGGCGAAGCCTAAACATTTGCGCCGCGATTTCGACTTGAAGACTTCGATTAACGCGAACGGGTAGAAGTTGGTTTCGCGCCCGTTTAAATGAGCTGGCGCGTACGGCTCGACGGAAAGAAGCGCTTCGTCGACCAAGAACTTAACGGTGGCATTGTTCCAGGAGGCATGCGAACCCCCCTGAAACGCGGGACCAAAGGGCTGGCGGTGCTTGGTGTTGCCGTACATGCACACTGTCGCGTATGGCATAAGCGGGCGGAAGCATGAGGTATCGCGCAGACCACTCGCAGATTCTAATCGAAACTCGACAAGCGCCTTGGGCTTACCATCGTCTGCCATTTTCGCTCTTCAGTTCAGGGAGTTAGTAACGAAGCAGGCAAGCCAAGAGCTGTGCTCAGGAAACGAAGGGGGGGAATCAAGAGTAGATAATTTTCCGGAAATGCAAGATTTCAGATTCAGATGCGGCTTTATGCTATTTTGTGCTCAGCCCCCCAGCTTGTGTTGCTTCACTCTCCTAACTCATGGCACGAAGCGAATGCACTCGCCGAGCCTTCCTGAAACTGCAGCTGGAGCGTTCTTTCGGCGTGCGCGTAACGTTTCGTCCTCGTCGCCCTAAACTGCCGCGTGGCCTAAACATTGCAGGGGTTACTTATCAAATCCTCAGCGATAACATATTCGTTTTATTGTAACCGTCAAGCGACACTGGTGAAACACAACCCCATTAGCTGCTTGCGAAGGAAACCATCGGCGAAATCAAATAAGTTACCGTGGTATGTTACACATACGAGTGCTGGATATGACATTTTCGTGCTGAACTGGTGCCAATCGAAACTCACCGCTGAGATGTGAAAATGTGAGGCGCGAATTTGTATCTTCACGTCCGTGGGCTGCGAAAGCCCTTGCGACTGCCATGCTGGAATTTACAGATGCTGGCGCGAAAAAAAGCCTTCACGCACCCCCTCAATGACAGCTCATGAGTTCGCAAGCGACTGGGTGCGCCACCACCGGCACCACTCAAACGAGGGCAACCGACAGTCGACCGACACCCATGCGACGATGTGTCACAATCTGCGCGCCTCGAATCTGGCTCTTCTTTGAACCGGAGGGGAAACATTTGGCCAGTGTTTCCCCTCCCTCGATAAATCTGAATTTCTGCGACCTTGTTCCAGCTCTCACTCATTCCTTCGCCAGCAAAATAAACGGCTCACTAGTTCCATTCCCCGAACGATTGGTTCATCACTTCTAGGGACGCGTACGCTTAGCATATTGTAGCTTTTACAACTGTCCAGTGCTGTAGTCGACGTGATCGTGCCGTGATATACCTTCTGGTTTCTTGAGAAGCTTGGCTTTGCATCCTATACTTACCAAGAATTGCCATGGCTAGGAC